TATATATATATATATATATATATATATATATGCATCCACAGATGAACGTAGTACCGGCCAACTTCATGCAACAGTTGAGTCTATATTACGGGTCAAGTATTCTCACCTCATTACCGGTCATCTAATATATCATCTAACTGATCGTGATACGAGCACTACCAATGTTTCGCAATGAGACCATGCAACTTGAAGTTACATATCCTTGTTGGGACCACTCTAAAGTTGTCAGTTTAAATCGGATCAAGGTTGCCTTCTCTGTTCTTTGGCACAGCAGTTTTTTTAGTCAAGTTGGTCGTGCATGACACGCGGACGAAACGCTAGGTTCGCCCTAGAATGGATTAGATGATGACTTCATTGTTGAATTAGTGATTTAAATGGAGCCTAAAACATGGCACCAATCCGGAGACGATTCTCTCACCCCTAAAGTCCGTGCTTCCACTCCAACTCAACTTCAGCTACTTGGTTGCATCTCGGTCCTTAGTTTCCTGTAATAAAATGTTATATATGCCCCGAAACGGTATCAAAGATCAGATAAAGCGCTTCTGTGTATGAGAAAACACTGAACCACTATGTTTATTTGTATGTGAATGACTTATTCTAGTGGTTGGAGGTCGCAAAACCGGTCTTTGAAATAACCTGTAGTAGTAGTCGAACATTGAGGAAATGACCAAGGCACTTTTTATATACTGCCGATTAGACGTCAGCTGCTTTCTATGATCTACATGTGTCTATCCCATTGGCCTCCTGTTGTATGTGCCAGTGTGATGCTAGTCTAGTTGGGTGACTATTGTCCCTCGGAACGGCCACTCTACCAGCTACCAGAAAGAGACCGGACAGGAGCAACACGTCTGAACAGTTGATAAATATTGATACGGCATGCATCGTGTAAACAAAAGAGCGGTGCCTATTAGATCAGGTCATCTGCCGGCGGGCGATTCCACCAAAAGTGAACACATACAAACAGCTCCGACGAGCGTCTCGTGTAGCCATTTACAGATCCTCCCTTCCGAGACTTAGTACGATGGATGATTCCGAAACCCTTCCATTACCTACATACTATGGGTAACTTACATCGCGTAATATTCCCCACTGTTTATCTTTGATTTGGTTTGTGTTCTTGTCTTCTTTTGTCTGTGAAAGCATGCAACTATTATTGCAATGAGCTGCTTTTACCACCCGCAAATGGTGTCTCTATCTGTCCCTTTTTACATCAGCTAACCTCCCGTGTTCAATCGAATGTGTCTCATTCGACGACCAGACTTACTCTGTACGGTGCTTGTTCGGCTTGGTCTCGTTCTTCTTTAGATGCACCGCCGTCCAGTCGACCACCACCACAAACCGCAGATCCTCAGACATACTTGTGCTACCACCCACCAGCTTAACCGTCCTCACCGTCGAGTGCTGCGTCCCTCCCAAAGGTTCGTGTCCCGTTCAGCGCACAACGC